GTGGTTCTAGACATTGCTGATAGCTTTTTGCCAGTTATATCATCAATTACCTAGTGGTTCCAACAAAGCACTGTTGGTTCTAATGAAGGACTAGAGACTGCCCATTTTTAGTAATTCTTCTAGCCATATGAAATTCCATTTTTGGGAGGATAGTTGAGTACAACTGGCAAAAATAAGATTTGTCTAGTGTTGGGGTGTGTTGGTGGTGTAGATTGATGAGTAAGCAACGATGACGATGTGGAGGCTGACTAGGATAACACCCGAGAAAATGAGAAAGGTCCTTTTGGTAGTACCTGTTTCACGTGCGATAGGCTGTATGCCACAGGCCATCTCATTCCGTCTAGCGATATTGGCCAACAGCAAATCTCTAACGATATCTAAAATTGTGGATTTCCTAGCCAAGTTGGGAAGAAGAAAACTGAGCAAAGGATGATGGGATTCCAAGAGCTGAGAATGATTACACAACTACCAAAAGAGTAAGAAGAAAGTGAACCATCATAACAAGAGCAACAAGGACAGAAAATACATGGGGGTCAAAGGTTAGAACTTGAGAAGCACATTTATACATAAAATATTGTGACATAATAATAATGACAATAAAAGTTTCCTTTATTATCTTTAGTAAATATCATCACTCTATAATGAACAACCTTCATATTGGAAATGGAAAATACAACAGTCCCTCTTTTGAATCATTTTTTCAGAACAAAAGGAATCAAGTTGGAAATGGTGATGGGAGAAAGAAGGATGACTGCTTTGAGCCTTACGAGTGGAGTGCTTGATCTCATATTTTATGCTAACCTTGCAGCTTAATCCTCTGATACTTAAGAAATATTACTTAGAAACTGAAACTGGAGCATGCTGCCTTCTAGCCATAATGTGTTGCAAGTTTGGAAATTATTCTACAGTGCTGGAAATGTAGAAAATATGAAGAAAATGATGATTTCTAGGTGACTTTGGCGTGTAGGGTGAGAGGTTGAAGATGGGGATTTTTCAAAGGAAGAATGGAAGTCTCATGCTTGGGAAAGAAGGTTGGAATCATAAAAAAAATCCCCTTCTCCTCGAAAAAATGAAGGAAAAATAATAAATACAAGTGTAATGGTACTTTTGTAATTTTTGGGTTAATGGGCCAAAGGTGTTCAGTGGCTATTGGGTAGATTTGGGTGAGCTGTCAAGCTTTTAGTGGCTCTGGACACTATTGACAGCTTTTTGGCAGTGATATCATGAATTACCTAGTGGTTCTAGTAAACCTTCATTGCTTCCAACAATGGACTGGAAACTACATATGTCTAGTAATTCCTCTAGCCATACAAAATTCTCTTTTTAGGGAGGTGCTTGAGTCTAGTCGACAAAAATAACACCTGCATAGGATTTTAGTAGGTTCCTCAAGGTCTGCACAGGATTTTGGAAGATTTTCCAAGCAAAATGCAATCTTTTTCAGCAATTTCAAAGGCCATGGAACTTGTGCAGTCACCTTTGCATTAAATATAGTGCAACTTGTTGATAGTGACCAAAACAACATCTTTGGTTAATCTTTTAATGAGATTTTAAGCCTTTAGTTAGCATCAAAGGGTATTGTTTTGGGAATCAAGTCCACTTTCATGTCTTCGCCACCTAGCCCTTTCTAATAAAGTTGGGCAATATCGCCAGCACCAAGCTTCGCTAGATGGGCAGCGTTCACCCATCCATGTCTACCAAGCCACTACTCCCATAGTTTATCCTGAGTAATTCCCATAAGCTTGGATTCATAGGCTTGTGTTTATCTACAATGAGAGCAAGACACAAATGAGTATATAGTCAAATATTTAAGTGTAAAGTGTATGGATATATGCAGCAAAGAAGGATACTCCTTTTTGTGGGACGATGGGGATGAATGTTTGTTGCGCACTTTTGTTTGTTGGCCATGCTGAGCACCAGTATATTGCTATTGTATATGGTTGACATTGTGCCAAAATAAGGAACAAGTGACCTGGGTGTGCATTGCCATATCGTTGTCTCAAGCTAAGCATCGTTGGTTGGCGATACCTACTAACATGTAAAACATGGAAGTTATATGTTATGAGTTGAGATTACTGGCAATCAGTTATTTTTTCCTTTTATATAGAAGAGTGATGATGTGTATGACCACCGGCCATGCTGTATAAGTATTGTAGGGTCAGCCATGAATAGCTTCCCTATAGCCAAAGGGATAACAGTGGCTAACTTTGTCCTTGACTAGAGCGTGAACTATGCAGAATCGAAAGAGTACTCCCACTAATCCACCAAGTCGCGAAGGGGTAAATCTCATTAAGCTAGATTCTGCCATAGCGATAAATATGTGATAGAGATAGGTTGAGTTGTCTCCACGAAAGAGGGATACAAGCCATATCCATGGCCTCCAATACGATAAGGTATGATACCATTCACAAATGCTGACCCTTCTTGCCGTACTCACACCGTCAGAGGGTGGTCTAGTTGTTGTTATCCATCGGGCACCGCACCACCATGCATGGGCGACCACCAAGGGACCGTCGCTTGCTACTTGATGGATTTTTATCACAAGACGCAACAATGAATATTGTTGCAAAAGGACATGACTGTCAGAAACTCCTAGCCATGTTGTTGGAATAGATCTAGCCATGTCTAGCCATGTTCATAAAATTAGATTGCAGCGTAGGCTGCATTCTGTAATATTTCCAATGAAGTAGATAAATTTCATTTTTAGCGATGCTAATTCTATTGTAGTAATAAGCAAAAAGCTACAATTGCATGTCCGATGTGGAAAATAAGTCATGTGGGCCTTTACTGATGTGGAGCCGCACATGCCATCGACTTTATAGCTATATAAATTCATCCCTCAACATTAGCCCCATAGCAGGCAAAGTTGTGACAACAAGTTTGGTCACTTGGCATTAAGGGAGATAAGTTGTCAGAACATTTTTCGTATGATTATGAACATGCAAAAATAATGCAGAAATCGGATAATCGATGTGGATCCTTCTGTCAAAGCAAATGTGGCTTGAAAGACTTAGGATTGCCAATTTTCAATTTTGGCCAAGTAAGCTGTTGATGATGAATAACTTTGACAGAGGCAAGATCATACTAGGCTCAACCATGCAAAATAGCAACAAGCATAGATAAGTCCAGTATGACTCGGTTGTCATTGGTGAATGAGGCCAAAGTACTAGCTGAAAATTTTGATGCTACTAGTAAGGTTTTAACATAGATTTAATCAAACACAGTAAGAGTGAGAATTCCAGTCGTGGTGAATGAAGCTCGAGTCAACACTGATAAGAACTAAGCAAAGCCGAAGTGACACTCTAGCTAAGAGATCTAGGGTCGTTGAGAGTGAGGGATTTCAAATATGTGTGGAGTTGAGCCAAAACTAGCCAAAACAATGGGTAGCATAAGTGGCGCTTATAAAATTATGGTTAAAACCCCTTTTTGGTCCCTCAACTATTGTACGGACCC